ATGGCTAATGAGGGTGTATACCATTTAACACGATGAAAATGTGCCTCATCGAAATATTGGTTTTAGGCCCCATATTTCTTTGGACCAAATCCGTTTCAGAATATTTTAGATGTCATCCAAACTTTGCCCATCTTATTATTTCTACCAAACTTAGTTCAAATTCAAAGATGGGGAAAAGCGGTCCACTCCTTCTGGAACCTCCACACAGGGACTAGGTCTAAATGCGGCTATAGTTCATTATCGAACCTTATGTTATAATTTCGTATTTCGCTATCCTCCGCAGGAGAAATGATTACAACAGAGTCTTAGAACCAAACTCAAAACAAATCAAATAACTATTTTAATATAAAAAGAGGGGGTTATATGAGGACTACCCCAAAAAGGGGGCGAATATTAATAATTTTTGGTAGAGAGATTTGTGACCATACACGACTACAAAATACCAAATTGCAGCAAATTCGGTTGAAAAACACACTGAAGAACCCCAAAATACCGAAAATTGGGGGTACCCTTATATGGGTGCTATCCGAAAAAATTGACCTATATTCACATTTTGTGGAGAGATTTGGGACCTATTAAGAACTTAAACTACTAAATTACAGCTAATTCGGCGGAAAAATACGATCAAAACCCCCAAAATACTGAAAACTGGGAGGTACCGCTATATGGGGGCTACCAGAAAAAGTGGACCTATATGTATAATTTTTTGTGGAGACATTTAGGACCCAATAAGAACCCAATGTAGCAAATTCCAGCGAATTCGGTTGAAAAACGCACTCAAGAACCCCAAAATACCGAAAATTGGGAGGTACCATTATATGGGGACTACCCGAAAAAATGGACCTATATACATACTTTTTTGTAGAGAGATTTGGTACCTATTAAGAACTCAAAATACGAAATTACAGCAAATTCGGTGGAAAAATACGACCAAAACCCCCAAAATACTGAAAATTAGGAGGTACCGTTATATGGAGGCTACCAGAAAAAGTGCACCTTTACTTATAATAGTTTGTGGAGACATATAGTACTCAATAAGAACTCAATGTACTAAATTTCAGCTAATTCGTCTGAAAAACGCGCTCAAGAACCCCAAAATACCGAAATTTGGAGGGTACCCTTATATGGAAGCTATGCCTAAACGTGGACCGATATATCCTATCTTCGAACATGACCTGCCTGCAGACAAAAGACAACCCTATGCAAAATTTCAGCACCCTATCTCAATTCCTTCAGAAGATAGCATGGCTAGATCGTCTTAGAATTTTACCCTGATCAAGAATATATATATACTTTATAGGGTCGGAAATGAATATTTCGATGAGTTACAAACGGAATGACAAAATTAATATACCCTCCATACTATGGTAGAGGGTATAAAAACCACACAAATTCCGTAAAAGTTTCAAGTACTAAAAAAAATCTGGCGTTATGTGGGTTAAATAGTAAACAAATTTGAATATTTTTGTATGATTAGTCACAAAAAAAAATAAAAATAAACAGTTAGGAAAAAGTCGATCATTTCAGTATTAATTTGCACCACTTGACGCAATTCTTTCGAAAAATGCAAAGCACACGTTTTTTTCTCTAGAGTGATAATGGGTTACTAAATAATATACGAATACGGAGATACCTGTAAATATTTAGGTGTAACTCCAACATCCGAGTACATACAACAATATAATTGGTATTAATTTAAAGATCAACCACTCCTCTTGGATATAAAAAAAACAGGCATGCTTATTCTTTGGCCCGATCCCCTTCTCTATGCGAAATTTCATAATGTTCGGACCATAACTGCGGCCTCTGGAGAGACCAGAAAAACCGACAAAAATTTAGTATTTGGTCCATTTCATCCCCTAAATATTAACCGATCTTTCCCAAAAACAATAGGGGTCTTCATTGGCCAGAACCCATCCTAAATGCAAAATTTCGTGAAGATTGGTCCATAACTGTGGCCTGTATCGTGTTTACAAATTATAATGGACAGACGGACGGACGGACGGGCACACATGTCTAGATCGACTCAGCTAGTCGAGATATGACGATTGGTATACTTAAAGGTGGGTCTAGGACCAATATTTCGCGGCGTTACAAACTTTTGGGTCTGCACAAAGCTATAATACCCTGACAACATAGTTGTGTAGGGTATACAAAACAAAAAAAAATAACATTTACATTAGAACCTTTTAGGGGGTTAACATCCTTTGAGTATTCATTTCACATATATGCAATGGAATCGACAATGTAAACGAACTAGAACTCTTTTCACATCATTACAGGTTATTTGATTGTATCGTAATATCCGTGCCAAGATCGATATGACATGAATGATTTATGCAGAACGACCCAGCAGGAAAATTTTGTACACATTATAGTTGAAATAAAATAATACGATAATACAATGTAAGCTTTACAATATATAGGGAACCAGAAAAAATACAACACAATTTAGTGAGAACACACTGGGGTTACATACAATAACAATTTTCTTTGTGGTTGTTGTTGAATTGTATTTGTTGTAGTTTTGCAGTTACCTTGTATAATTATATCCATGGACATACTAATTATATTTATTTATATTTATATATATTTGAGAAATGGATAATGGCAACCGTTTTTATACCGTCCACCATAGTATGGAGGGTATATAAATTTTGTTTTTCCGTTTTTAACTCATCGAAATAATCATTTCCGACCCTATCAGCGTAAAATTCTATGACGATATAGCCATGTCAGTCTGTCTGTCTGTTGTAATCACTCTAGCGTCTAAACGATTTAAGATAGATCGCCAAAAATTTGCATAGAGTCGTCTTTTGTCTGCAGGCAGGTCAAGTTCGAAGATGGTCTTTATCGGTCCACGTTTAGGCATAGCTCCCATATAAGGGTTCCCCCAAATTTTCGGTATTTTGGGGTTCTTGAGCGCGGTTTTCAACCGAAAACGCTGTAATTTTGTACATTGGGTTCTTATTCTTATGTCTGCACAAAAAATTATAAATATAGGTCCACTTTTTCTGGTAGCCACCATATATCGGTACCTCCTAATTGACAGTATTATGGGGGTTTTGATCGTAATTTGGTATTTTGAGTTCTTAATAGATACCAAATCTCTCCACAAAAAATTATGAATATAGGTCCATTATTTCGGATAGCCCCCATATAAGGTTAGCCCCAATTTTCGGCATTTTGGGGTTCTTGAGCGCGTTTTTCAACCGAATTTGCTGCAATTTGGTATTTTGTAGTCGCATATGGTAACAAATGTCCCTACCAAAAAATATTAATATTCGCCCCCTTTTTGGGGTAGTCTCCATATAACCCCCTTTTTATACCCTCCACCATAGTATGGAGGTTATATTAATTTTGTTTTTCCGTTTGTAACTCATCAAAATCGCTGAAATTTTGTACATTGAGTTCTTATTGGGTACTAAATGTCTGCACAAAAAATTATATATATAGGTCCACTTTTTTTGGTAGCCCCCATATAACGGTACCTCCTAATTGGCAGTATTATGGGGGTTTTGATCGTATTTTTCCGTCTAATTTGCTGTAATTTGGTATTTTGAGTTCTTAATAGATACCAAATTTCTCCACAAAAAATTATGAATATAGGTTCATTATTTCGGATAGCCCCCATATAAGGGTAGCCACAATTTTCGGTATTTTGGGGTTCTTGAGCGCGTTTTTCAACCGAATTTACTGCAATTTGGTATTTTGTAGTCGTATATGGTAACAAATGTCCCTACCAAAAATGATTGATATTCGCCCACTTTTTGGGGTAGTAATCTGATTTGTTTCGCGTTTTAAGTTTGGTTTTAAGATTCTGTTGTAATCATTTCACCTGCGGTGGATAGCGAGATAAAAAATTAGAACGTTAGGTTCGATAATGAACTATAGCCGCATTTAGATCTAGCCCCTTTGTGGAGGTTCGAGAAGGATTATTTTAAAAAACAAAAATTTTAAAATATTTTTTTATACCCTCCACCATAGTATGGAGGGTATATTAATTTTGTTTTTCCGTTTGTAACTCGTCGAAATATTAATTTCCGACACTATAACGTATACATATTTTTGATCAGGGTAAAATTGTAAGACGATCTAGCCATGCCTGTCTGTCTGTCCGCCTATATGTTGTAATCACTCTAGCCTCTAAAGCGTCTTTTGTCTGCAGGCAGATCAAGTTCAAAGATGGTCTTTATCGGTTCTTGGGGTTCTTGACCGCGTTGTTCAACGGAATTCCTTGAAATTTGGTTCTTTGGGTTCTTATTGGATATCAAATTTCTCCACTAAAAATTATAAATATAGGTTCACTTTTTCTGGTAGCCCCCATATAACGGTACCCCAAATTTTCAGTTTTTCATTTCCATAACACCCCCAAATTGGTTAAAATTTAGTACTTTGAGTTCTTATTGGTAGCAACTCCACTGAAAATTATATATAGGTCAATTTTTTCGAGTAGCCACCATATAAGGGTACAGTACATAGCCCACATATAATGATAATTATGTAAATAGCATAGCAATTAGACATAGCAATCTAAATTGCAGTAGTTTAAGAATCTTATACTCTACCATGCTTTATCAGTATCAGTCCACGTTTTAGGGTATTCAAATTTTAGGAGAATCCCCATTAAAAATTCTGAAATATGTATTTGGTGTACATAGTGGTTTACATGAAACGGTTTGTAGAATTATCAGTATGGGTTCACTTTTTGGTATGTTCCCTATATTTTCGTTGCAAGTATCTGTTAGTATAACCGAACCAAAGTTCGGCCTTGCCGAACTTAACTCTTTCATTACTCGTTTTATTTTCAAATGGTTCTCTTTTATACTTGTATATGAGAAAAATTTCACTTACACCGACAGCACATGGTACTTGCTGGTTTATAGTAAACATATCATAACCCTAGTAAAGTAACCTCCATGAAAAATATAAGAGGAAGGAGTTTTAATTCTTTTATTTGCGATTTTTTTATAAATTATTTTTTTTTCTCCTCTATTTTCAGAAAATGACGACATTAACTCCAGTTCAGCAGTATTACAAAGACAAGACCATATTTATTACCGGTGCGACAGGGTTTATGGGCAAGGTCCTTATCGAAAAGTTGCTCTATTCATGCAGTGAATTAAAGGAAATTATTATTATTTGTCGACCCAAAAGGGGTAAAAGTCCACAGTCACGACTGGAGGAAATTTGGAAGGCACCCGTAAGGAACAAATTTAATTTTTTTTTTAATTTAATAAAAAAATGTAAATAAAATATTTCCCCTTTTTCCAGATTTTCCAACGCATCAAAGATGAAAAACCACATGTGCTGAAAAAGGTCACAATGTTTCAGGGTGACATTACATTGGAATATTTAGGCCTCGGCGATGAGGATTTAAAATATGTTGCCGAAAATACAAATATTGTTTTTCACATGGCCGCTTCGCTGAAAATGGAATGCCCCCTTACCGAATCGATTAACATGAATTTAGCTGGAACGCGCCGATGTCTCGATGTCGCTAAGAAAATGCAGAAACTTTGTGCCTTTGTTCATCTCTCGACAACATTTTGTAATTACGATCAGAAGGTACTGTACGAACAGGTATACGAAGTAAAACAAAAACCCGAAGATTTAATGCGTTTAGCGGAATGGATGGACGTGAAGACATTGGATTCGATACGAAGCGATTTAATTAAACCACATCCGAATAATTATACCTACACGAAACGATTAACGGAGATATATGTTCGCAATCATTATGCGACGATGCCGGTTATTATAGCGCGACCAAGTATAGGTAGGATAAATAAAAAACATACTATTAAAATAAGATATATCCTAAGCACACAAAAAGATCGAAATATTATCTTCTTTGATTTATATTCTGCATAAATTCGAAATGTGTCATTTTCATCTAATTTTCTTTGTTTCTTATTCTAGTCACCTGTGCCTATAAGGAACCCCTGGAAGGTTGGATCGATAACATGAATGGTCCCGTTGGCCTCGCCATTGCTGGTGGCAAAGGTGTCCTTCGTTCCTTGATGTGCGCCGCCGATGCTAAAGTTGAAAATATTCCAGTCGATCATGCCACAACGGGCTTGATTTTTATTCCCCATTATGTTAATGAAATGAAAACGAGGTAAGAATCGATATCCCTGAACCTTTAGAATTTTTAATTGGCGCAGTACAGAAGACCTCTTTTGAATTCGTCTATATCTAGAAAATCTTTTGAGAAGTCATCTTTGTTTAGAAGATCGTTTGAGGGACCTATAGCGATTGTTCTGCATGGTTATTATATACAAAACTTATAGAGGACAGTTTGAGTTCAGTTTGAAGAAGACCTGATGTAGTCTATTAAATCCAAAAAAGATCTGTTAAAATTTCCAATGGGTTTGAAATAACTTTCCAAGGGTGTTCTATTCTTAAAAGACTTGTGGAATGATCTTCTATCAAACGAGTACCCGCTTATAGGACTTCTATATACAAATGACTTGTTTAATGGCCTTTACTCGTGGAAAAAAAAAGATTCTTTACTTTACAGAAGGTCTCCTGAAGGGTATTCTATATTCAGAATACCTCTCATACATACTGGAGACCTTTTCAAACGGGGTTCTATCTATTGGAGATCTCTTGGAGTGTCTTCTATCTATAGAAGACCTCTAGGAGGATCACCCATTTATAGAAGACATAATGAAGGATCCCCAGTCTATAGAAGGCCGCTTAAAGGGCCTTCTATCTATTTGAGATATCTTTAAGGGTCTTCTATTCTACTTTTTGAAGGTCTTCTATCTGCGGAAGAACCCTTAAAGGGTCTTCTATCAACTGATCATCTATCTTCTTGAAGGATCAACTGTTTACAGAAGACCTATTGAAGGACCTCCTATCTATACATGGTGTCTCGAAAGGTATTCTGTGCACAAAGGGTCTTCTATCTACTGAAGACCTCAGAAGGGTCTTCTATCTACGAGAGACCCCTTGTAGGGGATTTCATCTACGGAAGACCCCTTAAAGGACTTTTTATCGGACTATGATCCTCTTGAATGGTCACCTACTTGAAGAAGACCTATTGAATTGTCTTCTATATAAAGAAGACCTTTTGATGGGTCTCCTATCTATTGGAGACCTCTTTAAGGGTCTTCTATCTCTTGTATATCTTTTGAAGGATCTTCTATCTACTGAAGGCCTCTAAAGAGTCTTCTATCTACTGAAGACTTGGGAAGAGAATTCAATCTACGAAAGAAACCTTTTATCTTCTAAATACCTATTCAGTGTTTTTATATACGGAAGAACCCTCGAAGGGTCTTCTATATGCGGAAGATCCCTTGTAGGGTCTTCTATCTACGGAAGACCCCTTGTTTGGTCTTCTATCTACGGAAGAACCCAAGTAGGGTCATCTATTCACTGAAGACCCCTTGATGGGTCTTCTATTTACGAAAGAGCCTTATATACTGAAGACCTCTTCTATCCATTGAAAAACTCTTGAACCGTATTCTATCTACGGAAGACCTCTTGATGGGTCTCCTATCCACTGAAGACCTCTTAAATGGTATTCTATCTACGGAACACCCCTTGAAGGGTCTCCTATCCACTGAAGACCTCTTGAAGGATCACCTCTTAAAAGCTCTACTACTTACAGAAGACCTCTTGAAGGGTCTACTCTCCACAGAAGGCCTCTCGAAGGCTCTCCTATTCACTGAACACGCCTTCTATCTACTGATGTCCTCTTAAAGGGTCGTCTATCCGCTGAAGACCCCTCAATTGGTCTTCAGTAGATAGAATTATCTACTGAAGACCCATTGAAGGGTCGTCTATCCACTGAATACTCATTGAAGGGTCTAATATCTACTGAAATCACACATATCCAGGTGCCGCCCCATTTTCGGTATTTTACCACATTTTTCCTATGCAGCAGCAGCAGCTGGTATTTGGCATTTCGAGTATTTGCCAACCGAAGTGACGTTAAAGTGGCATTCTAAGTTCTTCAAGGGTGAAAAATTCATTCGCAGATGATTTTCGATATAGATCCATATTTTGAATTTGCCCTCAAACAAAGGTCCCGCTTCAGATATTTGTCCGTGTTTTGATATAGGCCCCATGCAAAGGTGACGGTAAAGTGACATTCATGGTTCTTGGATGGTGGAAAACCTTTGAAGATTTAAGGAGCATTTTCACCTCGAAATGTCTGTAATTGTAGTATTTATACTCTTGAGAGAAGAAAAACATATTCGCCGACGATTTTCGATGCAGGTCATATTTTGACTTAGTCTTCAAACAAAGGTCCCGCTGAAGTTTCGGCATTTGGAAACATTTAAGCAGTATTTTCCCTCGAAGTGTCTGTAATTTGGCATGCTATGCAAAACTTTTTCGCCGGCGATTTTCGATATGGGTCTAATGTTTTGAGATAACCTCCATACAAACATCCTGCCACATTTTTGGTAATTCGATAAGGTTTTAGCTGCATGTTCTCATTGAAGTGATTGCACTATGGCTTTCCAGATTCCTGCGGAATAAAAAATATAGATCCGTGGTTTTAAATACTCCCCATAGAAAGGTTCCGCTTCAGTCAAAGCGAATATAATCTGTATACCTTTAATTTGGATTTGAAATTTCTAAGAGGATATACAGCATACCAACAGATAATTTAGTACAGGTCCAGGTCGATTTAAGGAATTTGGAATGCACACCAAATGGTGGAGTGTATTTTTTTTTAAGTTTATACCAGGATCAGGCAGAGAGCCGTTTTTAACGCTCTTTTTCACAGAAATTACTCTCAAAGAGAAACCCCGTTTCTTATTCAAATTTATTCTTTTTTTTGTTCCTTTCTGCAGACCCGCTGAAATTCCGGTTTTCAATCTCACCCTGGGCGAGGATCAAAAAACCACCAGTCGATGGGTGGTGGAAAAATCCATGGAATTCAATAATGAATATCCGTTGACCATGCCACTGTGGTATCCCAATTGTAACCTGACAATGAACAGATATTATCATTGGTTCAGTGTCATATTGTTTATGTGGCTGCCGGCGCTGTTAGTGGATTGTCTGCTGACTCTGTGTGGTCAGAAGAGATTGTAAGTGGAATTTAATAATTTTTTTTAATTTAATTTTGAAAATATATATTTGCAATAAAAAAACTATTTTTTCCAGCTTATTGCGTGCCCACAAACGTCTAATGGCCGGTTTGAAAGTTTTGCAATTTTTCACCACCAAAGCATGGAATTTTCAAAATCCCAAATATATTGAGCTATGCGAATCGTTGACACCCGAAGAAAAGGCAATGTACGTATAGAGAGTTTCATATTTAATTTGAATGAAAAAAAAAAATGTTTTGTTTAGCTTCCCCACTCCGCTACAATTCGACAAGGATGAATATATGTTCAATTGCTGTATTGGCGCCCGACAATATGTCTGCAAGGAGCCCATGAGTAATGTACCCCGGGCCAAGGTTATCTATAGAATGTAAGTGGACATTTCTCTCTCTCCCTCTCTTTCTCCCTCTCTCTCTCTCTCTTTGATTTTAAAATAAATCCCCTTTGTTTTTTATTCCTTTTAGCATGTACATTTTGGATCGTGTCTGCAAAATTCTAATCTGCAGTTGGTTCTTTTATTGGCTATCTATGAAGTTGGGCGTTGTCGATTATTTGTGTTACATTAATCCGTTACATCTGTTGACACCGGTAAAACAATAGGATTTCAATTTTTTTTTAAATTTATTTAAGTTAGTTTTTCGAAAATATTTAGTTTAATTTTTATTAATTATAAGAATGTTGTAATATTTAAGCAATCAACAATAATAAATGTTATATTTTGAAATAAAATAAAATAAAAAGAATTTAAAAGAAATATCGATAAGAAACGTCGTTATGTTCGACGCAACCCTCCGCCGGAGGTGGATATTTAAATTCACCTAAAATAGATCGGAACTTTCATATGCGAGCTAAATTGATGCCAAGAAGAGCGTAATAACACACTACAATTAGGATAAAATACGGGACAATAATAGGCAATAATTTGAAACTTTAGAATCCATAAAAATGAGAATCCATAAAAAATGAGAATCCATAAACAATGAGAATCCATAAAAATCCCCCAAAATACCGAAATTTGGGTGGTATTCTATTCATGTGAATCTTGAGGATTCCATTCAAGTGACATTCTGGTTGTGGTAAATACATTTTTCTTAAGGTAAGGCGAACCCATCTCCATAATTACTTACCTACTTAGCTAGCTTGTGACAAAACGTTTGTTCCATAAGCCGAGCATCGGTCTTGCGCGCAGCTCATCCAATTTCAAAGACCATATTCCGAGATGTTGCCGTCGACTTGATCTTTCCATCGCATTCGTGGCCTACCCCTTCTTTTTTTGAGTTGGGGCATCCTCATCCATTGGCACGACATGACCTAGCCAACGTAGTAGCTGCAGCTCGATACGTTTTAAAATTCCGATGTAAGAGAATAGATGGTACAGCTCATGGTTCATTCGACGGCGATATTCACCGTCAACGCAGATCGGCCCATTGATCTTCCGGGGAAATCAAACTCTCTCAAACACTTCAAGAGCTGTCTCATCTGCTTGCGCAAGTACCCATGCTTCAGATCCATACAACAGCACGGGTAGTATCAGGGTCCTGTAGAGTGTTAGTTTGGTGTGGCGAGAGGTGGACTTGCTTTTGAGATGTTTACTCAGGCCAGTACTATTCTTCTCCGAATTTCAAAACTGATATCATTAGTTTTATTTATGGCGGAACCAAGGTATATAAGATCGATGACTACATCGAAGCTGTAGTATTCAAGTTCCACAGTTGATCCGAGTCTACTGGACATTCAGCTTTGTCTTCTCGCCATTTACTGCCTGGCCGACTTTGTCAGACTCCTTCTCAATTCGTTCAAAGGTGGCTGTTACCGCTCACAATGTTCGAACCATTACGTCGATGAGGCGAGTAACATGTGCTGTTTGGTGTACAGAGTGTCATTTCTGTTCACATTTGCATCTTAAATGACCTTTTTCAGAAGGATGTTGAATAGGTCACTCGACAAACTGTCTCCTTGTCTGAATCGTCGTTCGGCATAAAAGGGCTCCGAGAAGTCTTTTCCGACTTTAACTGTTGACCTTGTGCCAGTTGAAGTTATCCAACATAACCGAATTAATTTTGCAGGAATGCCGAACGCAGACATGACTTTAAACACCTTTGAGCGGATTGGGCTGTCGATGCGGATTTATAGTCAACGAATAGGTTCAATGTGTCGATGAGTTTTTCGTGGGTCTTTTCCAGGATTTGGCGCAGAGTGAAAATCTGGTCTATGGTGGGTTTGCCAGACCTGAAGACGCATTGGCATGGTCCAATAATGCCATTGACTATTGGCTTCACAGTACAAAACTAGATAGCACTTTATATGCGATGGGAAGGAGACTAATTCCTCTGTAGTTGGCACATATCGCCTTGTCTCCTTTTTTGTGCACGGGCCATAGGATGATGAGGTTCCAATCATTGGTCATGTATTCCTCTAGTCAAATTGTATTAATCAGCTGGTGCACGCTCCTGACCACCGGTCTTGAATAGTTCGGCTGATAATTCGTCGGCACCTGGTGCTTTATTATTCTTCAGCCGATTAATTACTAGGTGGTCTACACTCTATACCGACATCTCCTATTGGTTCTGGAGTATCTTCTTCACCGCCACTATTTGATACCAGAAGCTTTTCAAAATACTCCTTCCAGATACCCAACACGCTGTATCGTTTTTCAAGTTAACCAGAGGAGGCTTCTGCTATCTGTTGTGTTTGCAGCTTTTCGACATCGAGTTTCCGAGTTCCATTAGATCGCACCTTTGCTACTACATTAAGACGGTTGCTAAGCTTGGCTGTCACAAGGGAATGGTCCTAATCGATATTAGCTCCTAGGATCAATCGAACGTCTACAACACTTGATATATGCCTTCCTTCTATCACAACATGATCAATTTGAAATCCACGTGGCCTTGTGTATATCGATATGCTTGAATCTGGTGCTGCTAACTACCATGTTTTTATTAGCTGCAGCGAAGTCTATCAACCTCATACCGTTGTCGGATGTTTCTCACGTTAAATCTGATTTAGTATGGGTTCCTGGTTTGTTAGGATCCAGAACTCATGCTGTTAGGCTGCAATATTCTACATTTTGATCCTGAGGCATCTATACTAATAAACGAGCAAAGTGGTTGGCTGATTTAAAGATTAATTAACGCCCAGATTGATAGGTTAGAAAATCGAACTGTTAGTATCCAAAAGTACAAAATTTGGTACAATTTCGTAGCATGTAGACGAATAGAGAGCTAAAAACTTGAAATTAATAGCTTGAAGTAATAGCTTTATCAAATTTTCTTTGATTCTGACCCACTCCACATAGTTCATCTTCCTATAAAGACATGTGTAAATCCAATACGAAGCTTTTTGATTATCCGATTTGTCCGCAATTTCGTACAAAATCAATATTTTTAACAAATTTAGATCATATCCGCAGATGTAGTCTATCGATCCACTCCTTCTGGTAACTCCCCAAAAAGTTTAGAACTTAAAAAATTAAATCTAATAGATCGCGAAAATGTACATCCTCCACAAATTCTCCAACATCTCGTAATTTCCTGATAGCACCAATAAATTTCAAAAATAATTCAAAAGTTAGCCGCATAGCTTTATTCCATTATATGAGACAAATTGGCTTACATCCGTAAAAATTGTTATACAACATTCAATAATGTCAAATCGTT